CTGTGTTTGATTTATTACATGAGCAATATCTTAGCAAATAGAAAAGATAAGAGGCTCTTATTTTATATTCTTACATGTCAATATTGGTAATTTCAGTCTAATTCTTTCGAAACTATAGACTTAGTATTTTGACTTCACAAACATCCAATTTGAACTAGTGCTGCATTCAACATACCATGTGACACACAAAAATCTATGTTTATGTTTTTTTTAATATTTACTTTTAAATTAACAAATTGAGTAACATATAGTACTAAAATTTGAATTATAATCTATAGTTTGATACTAAAGTTATTGACATAAATTCATGAAATAGTAGTTCAATAAAATTTGAATTCAAGTCAACAAACGAGAAGACATGGCCTTTCACCTGTGACACATCTCGAAAAGGGTTAAGGTATGCTAGGTTGATGGCAGGTTTTTGAGATGGTTTAGGGAAAGTAAGCACCAAAAATCCAAGAAGTGTGACAGTTATACATGTATAGTTGTATTTTAGTTTGCAGTAAAATGCAATTAACCATTTTATGCCTAAAAAGTAAAGTTGGGGAAAATATCAACTTGAATCTTAGGCATCTGTGGCAGTGCCATGCTTGCAGTACATATGAGGTACCGATCAATGATAAGGACTGATTTTATTTATAATTACTGGGTATGCCCAAATTATGGTAATGTTATTTAGTTATCAGTAGACAATTAGAAGTCTTCATTGATTTTATCATAATCCTAAATATATATATATATTAGGCTCTAAGGTGTTTTTTTTTTTGAAGAAGATTCTTTTATTTAGGTAGATGTTTTAAGCATCAATCATACTTTAGAAAAACAGTTGAATATTTAAAAAAAATTAAAAATTTTTCTTGAAAAAACAAGAAAATGACAACTGATAGGAAGTTTCTTATCTTTGATTTTAAATGTACAATGTTTATATATTTATTTATTAATTTATTTAAGCAATAGTCCTTCATTATTGGAAAAGTTTTTGATTTTATTTTTGTAAGTAAAAGTATTGTGAGTGTTTTAAATGAATGAATGTGGATATTAAAATACTTTGATACTTACACACATAGAAACATGCTGCAGATAACAATGTAAATATTGATTTTTATTGTATAGCACTGCTGTTTCGTAATCTCGATGTACTGACAACAGAAGAGAAGGTGCTTTCTGTTTTGGGTGAATTAACTTCCCTACCGATTAAAAGCTTGGGGATAGCCAAAGACCCTTTGACCAATACATCCCGAGGGTTTTGTTTAGTGGAGTTGCATTCTATATCTGAGGCCACACAACTTCATGACATGTTATTGTCAATGAATGGCCAGTTTTATATAGATAATAGACCAGGTAATATTTTGGGTATTTGTCAGTATTGTATAGTTCAAAGAACAAGCAAGTTATTATGAAGCGAAGTTGTTTTAAGAATGCATTATTTTGATAATTTTGTTCAAAAGATTGTCTTATAAGGAAAAATGTTTATTCTTGGAAGATTTGATTTATAGTTGTTTTTAAGTTGAAATGAAGCCTTTTTTTATTAGAACAAATTAAACATCCATAAGATTCACTCATAACCTTTAAAGTATATAGAAATTACTTCAGTAGCCTTCAAGTAGTAAATTAACAAAATGATTTTTAAGCATATAATATTTACTGTATAAAAGATATTACGTTTTGACCCTACCTTGATCTGACTTCATCGGGTATGACAAAACTTAAGCATACAGGGTTTATATACAAATACAGTTATCATATTGGAATACATGGTTTATAAACCTAATTTATAAGATGTCACTGCTCTCTCTTTCTTTGATCTATAGATCTTGTATGTTTAGTTTGTGTTGTGCCAGGAAGACAAACCAAGGTATTGTTGAAATATGTATAATGTTTTCTATAATAGATGACATTATGCTTACAAAGTTGTTTGTTAATGTACTATTGTTTGTATAATGTGCTTTCCTATACAAGAAACAATCTTTAATTTCTGCTTCAATAGTTGTAAAGAATTGGATGCTTAATTATCATGATTTTTTTTCTTCGCCAGTCTCCTTTTTTATAATTGGTTGATGTACCTTAACACGTTTTTTCCAAGGTAGTTAATGAAGAATAAGTTCTTTGCATACGCGTGTTAAATTTAAGTATACAATGCTCATTATTAATATTATTAAATACATTGAAATAATAACAAATGTATCTTTTTTTAATTTTTTAATGAATTTCGTAATGATTGTTTTATTGTGTAAGAGTATCTAGCAACAAAGCATAAGTTTCATGCTGTATTTCAAGTATTAGCTTAAATATTATATAGGAAATATATATATATTCATAATTTCTTATTTTTTCAGTTAATGTAACGTATGCAAGAAAATCTGTGAATGCTATACACAGGTAAGAAATTAACTGAGGAGTGATTTTCATTATTTTATTGCAATGCCTTGTTATAACTAAAATGGTATAAATCTTTATTTTTGTGCAAATTGAGTGTGCACGTTCGTTTGTTGTAAACTTTCAACGTTATCATATCTGACACTTCTTACATACAGTTATTGAGTTTTTTTTAAATCAAGATGCATTTTGTTTGGTAACCTTTACTCTTCATAAAGAAATAAAAACAACTATATGACATATCTGTAAGTGATTCCATTACGTAGCACTCGCATTACTTGTGAGCTTATATTTCACTCATGTTTATTATAATTACGTCATCACAGGTCTAATGATATCTGGAATAACTCACTGTGTTAGAAGAAAAAACAAAATTGTCTAAAGTATCAAAACTGATATAAATGGATAGTATTTATATAGCTATATTTTGCATATCTAATATATCTATATGCTCCTGTTTGGAATCATGTAAAGCTCTATCAAAAAGACTAAATTAATGTTTAAGCTTTTGCTGGTGGACTTTACATGGTAGATTCCTTTGCCATACATTGTTCTAGTCTCAAGTTATTTCAGCAAGAGTTCTGTTATTCTATAAAAGTAATTACTTTAACAAAATAAACTTTCAGAGAAATCCTTAAGGCTTTCCTGTATATCACCAAAAAATCACAAAAAAATACAGAATATCTAGGGCATCAGTATGTAAACATAACACATTTAAAAATGATAACACAATACTGATTTCTGTTTACTATACTAAATAAAGTCAATATTTTAGGCCTTTCCAGTACACGTATCTCATATTTCTTACAAGGACAAACAATGTAATTCAGTATTAAAAAATTCTGTCTGCCCCCCCCATTATTATTATACAACTTCTGAATCTAATGTATTCGTACACATATCATCTGAAAGCCAGGATTATTTTCTTCTCACAAACTATTTGTAATAGTGCTCCCTCTATCGTTATGTAGATTGTAAATATCTAAACCTAGTTAATGTCACAGGGTTCTTTTAAGTGCATACTTTCAAATAATCTACAGATATAATAGTTATTTTTATAGTCTATATGCGATAACATCTTGGATTCATCATTTCAATTATACTAAACAGTATTAGGAATATTGTGCATAACTTTACAGAAGTTTTTTTTTTTTCAAAAAATAGTGCTGCCAGTGCCAATGCTGCAAGTGTAGCTTTAGCAGCCGCTCAGTGGACAAATCGGGTATGGACTTTTTACTTTCATTTAGTGTATTAAATGTATTAATATTTTCATGTACGTACATATGTATAACATTCAAAGTTAACCATGATTTTGTTTTCTTGGTTTTTCTTTCTGTAGTTCAAAATTAGAGATAGCTATGCCTGAACTGTAGGGATATGTGCATAAGGTAGTTTTTAGACTGAAAGAAATTTCTATTCTTTTCCACACTACAGATGGTTATACTAAGCAAAAGTAAAAATAATTTTGCCTAACAAAGTAGTGTTTTTTTCAATGACTTGATGTAGTATTTTGTGTTGTAGAGAAGCAAGGGATATGTTTCAGTTATTCATATTTTTAATGTAATTAGCCACAGCAAATGTTGCAGCATTAATTAGTTTATCATTGACCAAATTTAATATGTTTGGTTAATTTTCATGTTCTAGGCTGAACCAGGATTGACATCTTCAGGTCAGGTTGATCCATACCAACAAGGTTATGAAAAGTATCAGGTAAGGTTCTGTTTTTGTATATTTTTTGTTATGGTGAATCACGTGCTTTTTTTCCAATGAGTATTGAAATAAAAAACGATTTTAGAACTATCATAAAAAGATTCGGGTGGTGTGGTGTTGTATGTGAGAAGTTTTGTGACTTTTCTTTCAATTGATAAATTATTTCCTTATTGTTTGACAAAAACCTGCATGTGTGTGCTTGTAACTGATGAACTAACAGATCAATTGTCAACAAACCTGTCATATGTACCCTCTGGGTCTTCATGGAGAGTGACATATGGGAGGGGGGGGCAATATTTTGATCTAACCCTCAAGGGAGCCCTATGCATTGATAAGGTATTCATCAACAAATAGTTATTAAAAAAAAGTATATGTGAAAAACTTTAACCCTATATATATGAAAGGATCAAAGTGCATGCCACAATCGTTGTACAGAGTTATATTCAAAATTTAATTAAACTATTCTGTTATCATTGTATGTCAGTAAACTTGGTATTAAAAACATAGTTTTATGAGTTTGGAAAATTTGCACTATCCACTTCTCTGTATCATGTGATACTTATTTGCTCCAAATTGTCTGTTTAGATGTATCTACTAATTTTAATATAAATTACACACATATAGAATTTGCTAAGACGTAATCTAAAGTTATAGCCTCCACTCTTCTTGTTTTACTGAGATATAAACCAGAAAGTCAAACCCACACTTACACTCTCCAATCTCATCCTGTTATTCAAAACATTTCAGTAATCTCTGACGTTTGCTTTTGGATTATTCATTACGAATAGAAAAATATTTTAATTTACTGAATTCCTTGTAAGGCTAGCTCATTCTGATGACAAGTTATGAATTATTCGATGTACAGTTTCATTATTTACTATCACCGAGTCACTTTGACCAACCAAGAGAATAACTTAAACCCACTTATAGCTTGATTAGAATGATAGTTGAATTACAATAGTTCTAGAGCACTGTGTTTGTTGTGCATGCTGTTATTTTGTGTTCTAAGTTTGAAATATTAGCAATAAAATTCAACCAACACTTGAAGTTAACTTTTATCAAGAGTTAGAGTGCAAAAATGTACAAGATCCACACACCAGTATTAAATTTCTTGTTTTATTATGTGTATTTTTATTAATTGTTATAAAAGTAACTAAAAATGTAAAATTTAGAAACTTTTTAGGTTAGATAAAAGTATATCTCTGCAAGGAATGCACACAAGCTGCTCATGTATGGTGTAATTTAACTCTATCACTATGGGCTTGACCAACCTCATAACCATTTTGTGCTTGTTATAGTATTCAAACTATAACTTTTAATACAGTAGGTGTAGCTTAAAATTTTGCTTTACCCTCAAGTTGAACAAAAACCCAGCCTGGTTAACTAATGACTGAATATTTGCTGTAAAGTTATTATCAATGATATAAGTGTAGCTACCAGTTTGCCTGCCAATTTTGATTTCCTTCCTTTAAGTTGCATGCTCAATCCTTTTTCGGTTGCAACATTTTGTCACATCTAAGGTGTTTTCAATTAGATTCACTTGACGTCCTAGAGATTGGGTAAATGGAATATGAAACTTTAAGATGAAAGTATTTTTTCTCTTAGCATTATAATCACTTTGCACTCAGACTGACTCAGTAAGGTCTTTATAAAATCACAGACAAATCTTTGGTAAAAGTACTTGATTTAAAAATTGTTTGTTTGTTGTTGTTTTTTGTGTGACAAACTTGAATCATTTACTGAAAGCTTCTCAGATTTCATGAAGGTATAATCTTACTTTCAAAGTGACAGTATGTATAGATTCATGGTGGTTACAAAGTTTCTCATATTGACTGCAACCAAAAGTATATGGTTAATGAGTTGTCATTCACAGGAAAGAGCTTTTCATTTTTATGTAATAATCTCCACATGTTTTGCTGTACTTTAGCTTAGAAATGAAACCTGCTAAAATGTTTTTATTCGTACTTCTGAGTAACATAGTTAATCTTATTACAACTGTTTTTTTCCATCTCTTGCTATCCTACCTCGCATTATATATTTGAAAACTAACATTAACAAATCATCTTAACATTTTCAACATGACCTGTTTTCATCAAAGGAAAAGGCAGAATGGTAGTTTTGTTCCTGATGACTGAAGATCCATCTGTCAAAAGCACTCAATTTTCATGTTAATTTTATTTTGTTATGTTGGGGAAACTACGTGATTAGACAGGTAAAGATTATGACCACAAAAAGTTTACACTGTGAAATGTTGATTTTTACAGTGTTTAAAACACATTAGGAAATAATAAAATATATTTGTTGATAAATTTCTCTGATAAAGTACTTAAATGTAATTCTTCACATGCTTAAGGATTTCATACGAATGTCGCAGAATGTAATTGCATTTGTATTGTGTGTTCTCAGGCTGATTACAGTTCGTATTATCAGAGTAATTATGGAACTTATTCTGCTGACTCTGAAGCAGTTGCAAGTGGTAGGTGCTTAGACATGTAATTAAATGTTTTATTAGCTTTTTTATTCTAAATTGTAATTATATCACTAAACCACTTGTTTGACTCTTTTACTATTGAGGAAAGTACTTATAGGTAAGAATAAGAAAAAAAATCAATTTTATGTCATGTTGTAAATTGCCCAGAAAACTTAGGTTACATATGTTCTTACTGTAGATAAATTTCTGTTTTTTAAATGTTTAACATATGAACATAATGTATACATTTTTTGTAAAGATTTTAAAGTTGCAATTAAACATTAGTTTATGTAAGCTTTGGAATATTCAGGCAGTCCAACTCATTTAAAAACAAGCATAAATGTAAATTCTTATTTTTCAGTGTTTCTACAAACCCAAAAATTAATCCTTAAATGATAAAAGATTTTCTTTTCATAGGTGATGTACAAACTCAAGTAACTCAACAAGCGGTAAGATTTCTAAACTATATTAAGCAACATAATTAGTAATCATTTATTTCAAAGATTCTTTGTACATATAAGGAATATGTAATCCATATCTTTTGAAAGCCAAATTGAAATTGGATTTATTATGACTGATTGCACGACACAGCTTAGATAAAGGTATAAAAATAAGGAAAGACCATTTACATTGCTACAGAATGTGGTAACTAAATTAACATTGTATTCATATTTGATGTGCATGATGTCTTTGTTCAAGTAAAATTAAATCAGACTTCTTTAGTAGGTGTTAAAAGTCCAAAAACTGCTTAGCTAAATGGATATAAGAGATACAACAGGGGATATTTCTTTTTGATTTTGACCTATAGGATTTTCAGAAGTCAGGTGCCACAAAGCAGAAGATTGTGCAGGGAAAAGCTACAATTTCTAAAGGACCTCAGGGAGGTACAGGAGCAAAATCCCAGGTATGAATAAACCTGTAACAGTAATATCCTCTTATTGATTTTAACTAAATATCGAATTAATGTGAAACACTGAAATTTATAGAAATACCTTTTAAGAACTCAACCACACCAGTAATGGTTGTAGGTATTAAATGGAACATTCTGACAAGTATAAGTTGCAGATGTGATTCTTAGAAGAGAAATATTATCAATTGTGCACTGTTTTTGAATAGCAACATTTTTTTTTTCAGTAAATGATTGCCATATACTTTTTGTACACTTCTCTTTTGTATGTTCTTGGTGAGAAGTGAAGGTGGTTAGGAGAAAATTAAAAAAATAAAGCATGTACTCTTCCACTTCAGTAGTACAGTAATAACTTCCAATTGGAGTGAGTTATGTATTTAAGAGCAAAACTCAATCAACCTGGCCATAATTATGACTAAAAATATACCTTTCTGTTTAAACAGATTAGAATGCAATGTTTAATATACAGTTCTAATGATCATACAATATTTTTATTCTCCCTGATAATAATTTTTTGTTCATAGTAAGTACATTTCTAAAATATTCATAATTATGGAACTTGATGTGTATTTTTTTAAGTTGTAACCAGTTTTATAACTATGCTTTCAAACCTACCATTGCATAGTGATCTGTATATTATCAACCAACTCTTCAGAGTATGCTTTATAAACTGCAATTATCTTTATAAGATTAAAATATAAAAACATAATCTCTCAACTAGGTTAATCTAGGATCAGTTGTGGTTGATGGTGTTACTTATGCTAAGTACCCAGTTCCTGATACATCTTCATATCAGTATGACGAAACTTCAGGGTATTACTATGATCCAGCGACGGGCCTTTATTACGATGCTAACTCTCAGTATTACTATAATGCGGAATCTCAGCAGTTCGTATATTGGGATGGTGAGAAACAAACGTACCTGCCTGCTCCTACGCAGACTTCGAGCACTCATGAGACATTGGGTATGAAGAATTAAATCTTGATACATTTTACTATTTGTTTCTTTAATCTTTCCTTCCCTCTGACCAGATTTTATTTCATTGTTAAAAAGTGTAACTAATAAGTTGAATTTTTTGGTCTTTCAAAATGGCTGGGTATCAAGAAAACTTGTACTAACAGAGATTATAAAAAAAAAAATTTTCTCAGGAGGAACTGAAGCAGAATCAACCAAGGATGATAAGTCTAGATACAAGCAGGACAAAGTCAGAATTGCCAAGAAGATAGCCAAGGTGTGTACAAGACCAAGAAACTTAAGTGATTTGAGAGAACTTCTCACTAAGAAAGTGAAAAGATAGTCATTAAAATTATAATTTTTGCAATTCTCATCATACGTCTACAGACTTACAATGCTAGAAACTGGGTTTTGATACCTGTAGTGGGCAGAGGACAGATAGCCCATTGTGTACTTTTGTGTAAAAAACATTTTCTTACATCTAGGTCCTCAATTTTTTATTAACCTTATATTTAGAAGTCTAAAATCTGTTTGTTGAAAAATAACATCCATGTTTCTTTTGTAAGACACTTCCTGTAAAACAATATATACAAAGAACACTTATTACAGCAAAAGTATGAAAAAGTTTTTGGAAAGTGTTAATTTGTAAGACTTGTATTAGGCTCAAAAGATATTGGAAACATCAAGGTTTCTCTAGTATAGGTGTGCTTCACATGCGTGCTCAATGGATGCAACTGACATTTGGTAGAAATGTAAAATGAGGTATAAATTGCCTTATTGTATTCTTTGCACATAGGTTGACATGATTATCTCATTTATTTGCTGCATCTATAAAAATTATGTAGACATAACTGGAATGCATTTAGAAACAGTATTTTGTATTGAATTATGAACTTGATAAAACAGCTGTTGTCTGAAGTTGTGTCGCCAATAACCTAGTTTTAATATTTACCTATAGTGGAACTTTGAATTAATATGTTTGATTTTCACAAATAAGATTAATAATTCAGACTTTTGTAAAGTGAGATGGCAAACATCAGAAGACAAACAAAAAAAAAAATGAAGCTCTTGCCTCGGGGTTTTTTTGAAAGCAATGAAGAAAATAATTTGGTAATAATACTTTATGAAACATTGCTCCCTGTATTGCAGATGTTAAACTTTTATTGGCACTTTTATTTAGGACATGGAAAGATGGGCAAAAACTTTGAACCAAAAGAAAGAAAATGCCAAGCAAAACTTGTCTGCTCAACAGTACAAAGAGATGGCGGAACAATTCAGGCAGTCTGCAGCTGCTGATGCCGGTTTTGCCGTTTTGGAGAAGAGAACCACACACACAGACAGACAAACCTTGATTAGCGACTCTATAAAAAAAGATCCTGAAGAGAAAAGTATTCTTCAGATTACATTAGCAGGTAGGTATCTTTTAATCATAAAAGCTTAATATTATTTAGATTGGATTTGATGGCAAGGAATCCACTTTGGGATGATATTGATTGGAGATGGCTTGAATGGTTAATTAAGAAAATTTGATTATATGTATAACATATTAACAAATGTGCAACTTTTTTGACAATGTTTTATCATCATCAAAACTTTGTTGAAATGTTGTATGTTTATAACAAAATTTTTACTACCCATTCAAGCCATCTAACTTTATTAGTGGAACTTGGTGGGTACTTCAGAAGGTCTGTGTGTTTAACCTTTCCAAGCCCAGCATCTCAAGTTTTTTAATAGGCAAAAGGACATTAAATTATTAGAAAATTGTCTTTTCTCTCACTTCAAGAGCCTGGTGGTTAGGGTGCTCCACTTGCAATCTGAGGATTGCAGGTTCGAATCCCTGTCATACCAAACGTTCTCGCCCTTTCAGCTGTTGGTCTGTTATAATGTGATGGTCAATCCCACTATTTGTTGGTAAAAGGGTAGCCCAAGAGTTGGCGGTGGGTGGTGTTTACTAGTTGCCTTCCAGGTAGTCTATCACTGCTTAATTTTGGACGGCTATCGCAGATAGCTCTCATGTAGGTTTATGTGAAATTCAAACCAAATGAAACTCGCCCTTCAAATTATAAAATAGGATAATAAGTGATATGTTAAGATTTCTAATTTTCTTTTTGTGTTTTTATTAATGTTTGTTTGTACAAAATAATTTAAAAAAGTGCTAGTGCTAATTTTTCAGTTTTTGGGCAAGTGTTGTAAATTTTATTAGGAATGATGGAAATTAATACATTTCCCATTGATGCAAATACAACTTGTCAGAGTAGAAAAATAAAACTGGAAGTACTGCTTATTTTAAGAACAGACAATTTTTTAAGTTGGTAATTTGAAAAAATGTAAAATTCATCTGCTTTGCTTTCTTTACAACATTATTATATCGTGTTTTCTTTCTTTCTTGCAATCTATTTGTCATAGAACTCTCTTTTGTACCTAAATGTACATTTTGGAACCTTTCAGTGAATGAGTACCTTTAAAATAAGTGAAGTTACTAATTCATCTGTTGTGCATTGTCAAACCTTACCATCATTATATTAATATTTTGTAGTTGTAGCTAATATACACACTTCTTGTTTAGGCATCAGCAAACCTACACTCAAACCCAGCCTTGTTGCAGCTTATGATGACTGCAGTGATTCAGACACTGAGCCAGATACTATGGCAGATGGTCAGCTTGTACAAGATCCTTTAAGGGCCTGGGAGATGAGACTTACCGACTTGCAGAAGATGGCTTGTTTGCTTTGTAAACGTCAATTCCCAAATAAGGACGCACTATCAAGACATCAACAGCTTTCAGATTTACATAAGGTAAGGGTCTTGTTTGTGCTAAACAAGCTAATTCTTTTTTTTTAACTGAGCCATGCACCTGAAAACTGATCTTGTTTGTGCTAAACAAGCTTAATTTTTTTTTTTTAATTGAGCCATGCACCTGAAAACTGGTCTTGTTTGTGCTAAACAAGCTAATTCTTTTTTTTTAATTAAGCCATGCACCTGAAAACCGTAATAGATTTCTGATTAACTCTGGTTTTTATTACACAACTAGCTGAATGCATGTCATATGATGGTAGATTCTGAATAATTTTTCTTCTTAAAATTAAATCTAAATAAATGTTTTATGAACAGGTTTTGTAAAAATGAATTTTAGTAACAATATATCTATGAAGAATGTTTATTGATTCTCTAGTATTTCATGAAAATATTTTTTCTTTATATTTGGTTGTCTTCTGTAAGTGGTCCTTAATTACAATTTTGAGTTATGTATATTTTTATATTATATCCACATTTGGTTTTTGATAAAGCCTTATATAATGAACCATGTAAAAAAACTGGTTCTCAAATGAATATTCCTACATGGTCAAATATCTGATCCTACAATTTATTAGTTCTGATGGCAAAGGCAGAGAATTTGATGGTGAAGGGCAAATGCATAGTTTCATAAAAAATGCTTACAAGTTTTTTGACTGAATATTAAAAAATCTTTTACTGAAGCTGAAAACGGTAATAATGTATCGTAGAGCCATCTATTGGGTTGAAAATATATTTGTTTTTGACGTATGAAATAGTAATTGGGGTTTATTATGTAATATGAAACTATCCCTGATTTAATCTTTAATTTTATTTATATTGTTTCGAATAGTCCGAGACCTTATTGTAAATATAATATAAAAATTAACAAAAGTTCCCAACTTGAATGGGATCTGAATGTGAAACTCCCTCATGATAGTTGAACACTATAGCCATTTTTGTAAATTATCATGTGATTTTAGTTGCTCTGAACATGAGTTAATAAGTAAAAGAAGTTGTAAAAAAAATGCCCACTTAGCTGATTTGAACATATGGTACATTGTACTATGTTTCATTAATACAGATTAACTTTGTTTTGGTATAGCAAAACCTGGAAACCTTAAAAAGAACCAAACTGTCACCTGAAGAACTGGAAATTGTGGAAAAGGCAGAGAGAGAAGTATACTTATCTTTAAAATATATATACTGTTATCAAGGCTTTAAGCAAATCAATAATAGACTTATGGATAGTTAACATGTTTGGTTTATGATAAAGTTTAACTCTCTTTTTAAATTTATTTAGTTATGAGGTGTTTCAGGTCAATTAAAAAATAATAACTAAAAACTAACTTTGTGTATACAGGAGACACCTTCAAATGTTTAATTTTTTCCATGAACACCCATAAAATGAAAAGAAGAAAAAAATTAAGTAGTGTGAGCTGGAGAATGAAGAGCCTAGATAGAAATTGTAAAAAAAAGTTGTTTTACTAACTGGTAATGTTCCCAATAATGGATTTCAATTCTTTTTTTTTTTTTTACTTGTTTTGTTTAGGCTGGTTATAGGGATCGAGCTAAAGAACGTAGGGAGAAGTACGGACAGCCTGAAAATCCACATCCAAATAAACTAAAAGACAAATATTTGAAAAATATTCAACAGATTGCGTAAGTTTTGACGTGATATCCGGTTATTACACCATTTTGGGTAAAATGGTATCTTCCACTAATAGTTAATGTAGAATAATTCGAGCAGTTTAAAATGACCATATACATGCCTGTTTTGTATTCTCAAACATTTAGATAAACTGTTTGATATAAAGCACATGAATGAAACCATTGAAAATATTCTGTTGTTAATTGCTTAACCCTGTGTACAACAGTTAAAGTGACATGTTACCTACAAAACCTAATTTATCAATATATGTGAATAAACTTTGAACCAAAACATTGTTTATAATTTCTAAGTTTTAGTTTCAAAAGGAGATATTATAGCAAATTTGAATTTTTGTTCTTGTGTCCTGGCTTTGATTTCTCCTTTTCAGAATTTTCTGACATAAAAATAGAAACATAAACTACACATAATGTCAAGAAAGAACATAAAAAATTGAACTTCTTAATTTGTTGAGATATTCCAAATTTGTAAAAACCACTAGTGAAGCCCCCCCCCCCCATATTTTTATGCTAATTATCAAAATCACTACTTGTGTGATGGGCCTCTTTATAACCAACAGAAAGGACATAATATAATGTACAGGAACCTTAAGACTACTTGTATATATTTGGTGGTTGAAGACATGTTCCCAAGAAAAGCTTAGCTATAAAGTCAAATTATAATAATTTCGGGAAGTTGTTCTAGTTCCAAATATAAATTGTGTTTTATTGAAAACTACATGATTTAGTGTTTTTTGTTTGTTTTTGACAACCAACACAGAAGAAAAATAGATTATGCAAATGAAATAAAACATTTTTCATCTTACAGTTTTATATTAACATGAAAATCACTTTGCACTCAGTTTGACTTAGTATATAGGCTTTATACATCCATGTCCAAATCTTTAGTAGTAATACTTTTATTACAAGCTTGCCAAATTTTGTGAAGGTAAATTTATTGTATCACATTTCATAGGTGGGTCAAATTGCTCCACTGTGTACAGAATGGGTTTATATATATATAAAAGCAATCAAAACAATATTCTGGCTAGTTTGAATAATTTCTCAACCATTTGTTTACAAATAAGCATCTATAAAGTTCCAACTGTCCTGGTACCACAATCCCTAATTATTGTAGGTAACCTTTGTTAAATAATTTTTGTTCTACCTAAATGATGGGTGTCCTGTTTTAGTGTTTAACCCTTTTCACATTGGCTATGAAATTCTTCTGTTTGTAACATTAAAGAATTACTAAATATTTTAAATGTATATATGAACATTCTCTCTCTACATTGGGTAAATAATATCTGAATTTTTTGCAGTTTCTTTTTTATTATTCACATGTTTACAGTGATTTTTAAATTTGTGTATTGCATAAAGACCTAGTAAATTTAATTATTTTATGTATACAAGATTCAGATTTTTAGTTGCAAATAAAATTGTGTAACATACTTAATATCCGAGTATTTTAAAAATAAAATGAGAGAGCTTGGCTTTACTCGTTTATGTAATCAAAAATTAATAACTTAAAACGTACAGTATCTTGAAATTTTCTTTTCAGGTGGTTTTTAGTATTTTTCCATAGTCACCTAGTTAGTGTACAAAATATGCAAGTGTTGTATTGGTTATGTTTCATTGAAATAAAGTGCACTAGTCACGATTGTTTTGTAATTTTTGACAGTCCATATGAACAGCCTACTAAACAAGGTATAGGAAGTGACAATATTGGCAACAAGATGATGAAAGCCATGGGGTGGTCAGAAGGTCAAGGACTGGGTAGAGCAAATCAGGGAATATCCAATATTATCCAGGTAGAAAGAAGAGTAGCAGGTGCTGGATTAGGAATGGCTGGAGCAAACTCTGGGGCAAGTGCCACGGACTCTTATAAAGACACAGTTAAGAAGTCCATGCAAGCAAGATATAACAATCTGTGTTGATAGTCGTTCCTGTGTTTTATGCTTGTAAATATCCCATCATGTATAAACAAATAAAAGTGTACATAATAAGTTACTTTTGTAGGAATACCAACATTTGTTAATGGGTTTCTATAATTCATTAATTGTTGTAGATTAGCTGCTTTCTTTCTTAGAGTGTATGTATGCTGGTTGCATAGAAAATAAAACACCATCTACACATCTGGAAATTTAAGTTGAATAACATTATATATGAATTGGTTCATATTTAAATGAGATGGTGTTTCCAATAGTTTTTTACATCATGGAATTGAAAACTTCAAATTCAAAGCCCATGCTCTATGATGAAATTTATGTGGAAGGAGTTTTCAGCAGTGTTTTGGCTAGTCTGGATGGTTGTCTTTATTCTGTGGATAAAATAACCATATAAAAAAAATATATATATATATATATATATCCCAGCAATATACACCAGTTGGAAATTGTCACTCCCATCAGCAAAGATCTCCGTGAAGCAACAAATGAAAAAGGAGCAATCCATTGCATATTTCCACCTTGCAAATCAAAAATTGTTTTAATCAGAGTGTCCTTTCTGAAGAGACTGTGTTTCTGGTAACTTGACTCTTGTGGTTGTCACTGATACATACCCACTGGCCATCAAGTGTTTCTCTCCACAGGCTCACCTACATCAGAAGAGCATTATTATTACATCAGTTTGTGTTTTCCAATTGAATATAATTCAAGTTATTAATTAAACTTGCATTTTGAACATTGATATTCAATACTTCTGTTCCATCTATATGTTGAATTAGCAATATTCTTTTTGTGTACCTTAATTGAAGATAAATCAACATACCTTGTTATCACCTCCAGACACTGCAAGGACATTTCCAGTTACAGACCAACTAGCATGCCAAACCACATCATCAAAGGTGTGAAGTACTTTATAATTCCACGTACTATCTGTGCCATCATTCTTCCATATTATCACTCTTCTGTCCTGTATTTTAGTTAAGAAATGGTATTGGATTGATTAATTCAGCTTCCACAATAATATAAAATGAAAATTTATTTGGTTACAACATTTATAATTTTCTATGGATTCACAGAGCCATGCAAGAAAAGATTGTTTAAAATATTCTTAAAATTTACCCTTATTTCATACATACTACGTTGTTTCAGCATTAATCTAGATAAAGGGTAATTCCATAGTTGAAAGTATTAGCTTTACTCCAAAGCTACTTGTATGCACTTCAGGATCAGCTTCCACATAACAGCTCAGTTGTTCTTTACTGAATGAAAACCTACAAAAGATATAGCTGGTTTGTCCATAGAGTCCAATTGAGGAAACGAAACTTTGTTCTTTGTGAACAATCACACTGTAGATATTAAAAATATGTAATTAAATTTACCATAGGTGAGTTTTATTAAGAATTCCATTCTTGGCAAAATTTGTAATTAAATATTATTTCATGACTTCTCACCACGGTTTCACCTCGATAAATGTATATGACTGCATTCACTTTTAGCCCCAAAATCTGTGAATCATTGATCTAGATTATTATTTGCCCATAACTCATCTCCGCTGTTTTATACACACACACACACATAAAATAGAGAGAAAAGATTTAGTTTAGGCAATATCCAGTGAGGTAAGGATCTTAAAAAAACAAACAATTCTGTTCCAATGTTATCAGATACCCTGTAGTTTTTATGTCGTATGATTGTTAAATCTTTATAATTTTAGACCTACTTTAAATCTTAACTCTATCAGCCCAGGCTTGGTCCCTGGGACTGACCTCATTATAGTTTTCATGCTATAACTTTTAAATTAGTAAGCAAATGTTAACGAAATTTGGCAGATTATCAATAAACATTACAATGCTTTCATATGCAAAATATCTAATTTTTCTATCAAGCCGTATTTCTCATGTATTTTTTTCTTTTTGCATATTGCCTATCAATCATGCAAAGTAATATACATTTTAAGATTAAAAATACTTTCATGCATTGGAAAATTTTGAAATTTCACATGCAAAATCTTTATAACGTTTGGACAGTTAAGAAAAAAACTTTATATTTTAATTGTTATTTTAAGTAATTAATCTCTGTACAGGTTCGGAAGATTTGACCGCTCTTGCAACCACCATAAAAATTAGGAAATAAACAAATTATGCCTCTTTCATTCTAGAATGAACATAAATGTTTAGATGAAATAGTTTAAATCTCATAACATTATACATATATATTGACCTTTCACCTGTGCCTGGCTAACAATACAGAAGTTACAACGACACAACTCCCGTTACTGTATCAAATAACATAAAGGTAACCTTTGCTCTGTACAAAGTAACTTGTCTTGGCCGTGTTTTAGTCAATTAACATTTTGTAAAATACAGTCACATTTCAATTATTATACAGGTTATTGCTATTTTGAAATAAGTTTTTAAAGCTATTTTTCCAAAAACATAGAACAGTAAATAATAAAGTAAAGCAAACAATTAACTCTTCTAGTCATGACCTTTGTTTGTTGGTTGCTAAGCCTTTAAAAATTTTGCATGTAGAGGATATGAAACAAAATATTTTTTTTAGGTTTTGAATAACTAAAAAATCATAACTTACTACATCAATATCATAGAATTCTAATATAATTTATCAAGCTTAGTAACTAAGCTTTATTTAGGTCTAAAAAATATGAAATTTTGAGCAGACTGAAGCCACAACCTATCTCATTGAAATCTTGATTCAAAAGAAAAAAAAGGGCTGAGAAAACCACTAGGGTGACATTCTGAGCTTCTAATTGGTTATTCATGTCATATATAGAAGTAAGCGTATATAAGGGAGTGTTTCCAAAAATGGAAAGAGATGGGTTGGGTGCCACTGTGTTTGATTTATTTCGCAAGCAATATCTTAGAAAAGATAAGAGGCTCTTATTTTATATTCTAGCTTGAGTTTCTAATTCATACAAAACTAAAGAATTTAGTATTTTGACTTAACAAATTGAGTAATGTATAGTTCTAAAACTTGAATTATAATCTACAGTTTGATACTAAACTTATTGACATAGTAGTTCAGTAAACTTTTGAATGCAAGTCAACAAATGAGATGACATGGCTTTTCACCTGTGACCCGTCTCGAAAGGGTTAAAAACACCAACCAATTACCTGTGAACAACTAGCTATAATACTGTGCGGCAAGCCAATAGAAGGAGCCCAGGCTACATCTCTCACCCAATCAGAATGTGCTTCAAGTTTTTGTTCTTCCACCCATCGATCTTCGTCATCACTAAAACAAAAATATATGTATCAATCTATATTTCAAACAACAATGTAAATATACCTTTGCACATGTATAATATATTCACAAAGAAAAAATCATAAACATATGAGACAAACCATATAGGATTCTCGAGTTCCTAATTGCTTTACATGTAAGAAACAGCTATCAATAGATCTCTGGTACTAATAAATGTGTTTACTTAACAAAATAGTTTTTAACTTAGTTTTGGGAATTCCAAAAGTGACAGACACCATACAAAAGTGTTTTGAGATTAACCATATTGATATTAGTAAATTGACAAACAATGATTTATAAGCATAATAAAATACATTTTTCAACAGAATACTAGTCGGTCTTTTTTTGTGCCAATGTTTTTTCTACATAAAATATAATTTTCATTATGCTTATAGTTGTTTGTCAACTTAATATGGTATTAATATAAGTTTGGTGTTATTAGCTTCAATTTTGGACAAGTTTTTTTCACAGCTTTTAATATATAAAACTGCTGACTAGAGATAGAAAATTCTTTTCTTCACCAAGATGTTTATTTGTTATTGTCACAATATTTTAGTTATGCACCTTTTTCAAGAGAGTGGACCAGAACTGTTTTGATGAAAACATTTTTTAATTTTTAAAAAACTCAATTCAAGTTTAATAAGCTAAAGTAGATACTTACTGATCTATATTTTGAGATGTGGTAAAAACCTAAAATCAGTACTACATTTTTTAGAGAAGGACATGTCACAACTACCCCTGTTTTTTTTAGTTTTAGCAATATTTCAGAAAGTGATTTTTATTGAAAAATGTTTACCTTTATTACAAACTATTTTACTTCAAGTTTCAAACTTATCAGTGAAGCATTCTGCTTATTGAACAGTATGCAACTCCCAATCTCCTAGTAATATACTGGTAGTAATTTCATTTGTATGTTGAAATACTTATACATAAGTTCTTTTTAAGCACATTGTACTATATATATATATATATACATATAGTATGTAGATGAATAAAAATAAACTGAGAAATAAAACAGGAGCCCTTGTAATCTAAGTGTTAGGGAAATCGATCCTCCAAAAGAACTAGAATTACTATTAAAGTTCTCCAGGTAAAAACATTTTATTACATCAATCATATAAAAAAAATGCACACCAAATGTTACACTACACCTAGATTTCCACGATGTTTTCACAATTAAAGCAGAAAAAAAAAGAACATCAATCAACTTACACATATTTCCAAATCTTGACTAAGTTGTCACAACCACCAGTAACAAACCGTTTTATTAGTTGAGGTTTCTGGCCAAGAGGCTGATCTATCAAGGATCCTGGTGCTACTGCAGGACCCCAGCTGACAGCATTACAACCAATCTGTATAAACAGAAACAAAGACATCCAAAATTTACTTACCTTACAAATCCTTTTAAACTTAATTTTAAGGAGCTCACAGGCTACCTTACCAATACAAAAATAAAATTACTGAATGAGAATAAAAGTACCACTTTGCAATTTATATTGTCCAAGGTTTGTAATGAAATATAATACTAATGTACTAAAACACACATGAAACCAGCTTTATTTATTTTTTTTAATTTTATGATAACCAAAGTGTATATATAAAGTTCACAAAATTTTTCACATTTACCCCTTATTATCAGTCCGAGTAATCAAAATAACTATTCTTCCTAGGTCTGTAACCTTAAACTAGTCCTAAAAGGGGCAAGAATCAAAAGGATTGTCCAATGCTAGCCATAACAACTAAACATATAAAATCAAAATAAATACTAAAATTGAAACAGCTAAGCAAATGGAGCCAAGAACTGGCATGAATTTTCTTATGAACTAATCACTATCATGTAAACTGTGGTTTAAGAATGACAGTGAAACTCGTCACGCAAAGAAAACAAAAGTATTTCTGTAGATCAAAATCCTGAAAAACTGATGTTGCATGCAAAAATATTAGATTTATTTGTTTATAAATTTTTAAACTTAGACAAGTTTGAAAACATAAAGATGCCTTGGATAGTCCTTGAAACTATCTAAGAAGTTTCAAGAGGTAGAAAATGTACATAACATTTTTTGTTCGTATTTAAGATTTTAAAATCCTGATAATATCACATTACTGAAATGAAATAACAGCACAATTACAGGAGTACTTTAAGTGTAGCAAAAAACTTGTAAGACTGAACAATAACAGCATTTTTTTTCCAATGGTTGTTTCATTTTAAAACTTTTTTTTTACCAAGATATTACCTAATGCTAGCAGAAGTTTTATCCATCAAGCAGTGAAAAAGACTAAATAACAACTACAAGTAAATACTTGCACTTTTTAATGTTCATTATAAAAATTTGTACCTTACAACACTGATTTCAAATAATAAACAGGACTCGCTGCTTATACAAAGAAACTAAGAAAACTTTTCTGGCTCAAGCTAGATAACATCTGGTACCTATGGTTGAAGTTTATAGAAACTAATAGAATTATATATTAATATTAACTTTGATCAAACAATGTACCTACAATTTTGAACTGGGCAACTATCAAATTACATATTACCAGCAATTGGTATCACATGAAATAATCAGATTGTGGTTAATGTCAAAAATTATCACCTAGTATTTCCAACTATCTAGTAATCAAAATTACAATTAAATTTACTAAAATCATGAACTAATCAAAATTGGTGTTTACGAATGTTACCATTTTCTATTATTCCAACAATCCAGTAATTCAAATATTGCAATTATGATTTTTCATTATTAATTTTTAATTCAGACTTGTTCAGCATAATCAATAAGTCATGACTTATAAAAATAATCAATTAAAATTAGTAATTGAAATATTGGCATTATGTTTGTTGTTAAGCGTAAAACTACACAATTGGCTGTCTGTGCTCTGCATATTACGAATATCATAACCCAATTTTAGCATTAAAGGTTCTTTTTTTAGCAACACATGGGAGAATGATCAGTGTGTTTTTTTAACCATCTTATGAGAATAATTGATTAAAAGGTTAATCATATAGTATTCATTGAACAATACATATATCATACTTACTGTGTGAGCATTATTGATTTTCTTTGTGTCCCAATTTCCATCTCCAGAACTAGATAATATTGACACAGCACCATCGGAACTTCCACAGGCTAACATCAACCCTAAATCATGTGGAGCCCAGCAGATGGAGTTTACTAAAAGTGAAGACAAACAAAAATTAAATGTTGTGTTTGTTATGAATTTCGTGCAAAGCTACACGAGGGCTATCTTCACTAGCTGTCCCTAATTTACCAGTGAAAGCCTAGAAGGAAGGCAGCGAGTCATCACCACCCACTGCCAACTCTTTTACCAATGAACAGTGGGATTGACTGTCACATTATAATGCACCCACGACTGAAAGGGCGAGCATGTTTGGTGGGATGGGTATTTGAACCCGCGACTTGCAGATTGAAAGTCAAGCACCCTAATCACCTGGCCATGCGAGGCCCAAAATTAAATAAAATCCATCAATCTGATAAATGGTTTTTAATAACAGAAAATTTAAAGTTTTTATAATTTGGCATGACCTTTCTCTTGATTTGTTTATAAATTACAGATACCCAATTATTAGTTTGGTCAACAATATTCTCTTAACAAGTATTAACTGATTAAAACTAAACAAACAGTTAGTGTTAACATGTGTTTCACTGCTTACATAGCTTTTCTGAAAAAAAATATAGTACATTATATGCACAGAAACAATAAAAGCTTTTCGTGCAAAGTTCAAGATATATTTGCTGTATACTCCAATATTTTTTTTTACAATATCTAATTTGGTAATTTATTCAGTCACACAGCAGAATTTGATGCAAAAAAAATACTTTAATCCTAAACAATTACAAAACCATACCATATCTAAAAACTAATCACCTGAAATATATTTTCCTATAAAGTTACATAAAAAAAATTATCAAACGAATATGTTATGCAACTATCTTCAACTTTTACTCATACAACTAAGTAATGAGTTTGTTGCTCATGTGGAAGTATGTGTTTCCCTTTCTTCCTTGAACAATTACTAGGCATGATTCAATACTGAGAAAAAAAATCAAAGTTAATATTTAGTTTATTTTAATGAATAAAACAACAGTTCCAGTGAAACACTGTTGGTTCAAAAAGCTACTCAATCAACTTTTACCTACCTGAGGAATCATGGCTAATATGGACATAAATCTTTTTCCATTCCCCTCCAGTCTCTTTCCAAAGGACAACCTTTCTGTCATATGAACAGGAAGCAAGAATGTTACCAAACATTGGATGGGCCCAAGCAACTTGCCAGACAGGACCTTCATGTCTGTGTGAAAATATTTTAGCATAATTCACTTACGTTTTCTAATAAATGTTAAAAATATAGTAATACCAACAAACATTTAATTACAGACATTTCAGAATCCATCATCACCGTTAACTCTTTCCATATGGGGTCTGTGTATTACACCACCCTTGTAATCCTAAAATAACCATCACAGTTTCCATATTATAACTTTAATATGGTTCCTGTATTTCCATAAAATTTGGCAAGCTTTCAGTAAACATTACAAATCTTTTGTGCACAAAAAATCGGATTGTTTAATTAACTATTTTTACTAAAAATTTGTCTGAGAATATATGGAGTCAAAGTGTTGACTGCTACAATTGCACAGTGCTTTTCATGTTAATGTTAAAAATACTTTTCTTCAACTGAAAATGTTTACATTTGTTTTGTTTCAACTTTAAAACCTTTTAAATAAATATCAAATGATTTTTCCAGTTAAACTTTATATTTTATCTGTTATTTTCTTTACCCTAACTCTATATGGACTCATTCAATTTGACCAACCGTGTAACCACTTTAAAAAAACAACAAAATAAATCTAACTTATCCATTTTTTCTTGTAAAGTACTCATCTGTTTATACTTAATTTTATTGTTTTATTGCCTGTGTCTAACTAATAATCCTGCCATACAAGTTGTAAATCACTCAGTGAATGTAGAGCTCAAGTTACCATATTGAGTGACTCACAAAAACTACTCGTGAACTGAGCATACCTCGTGGAGAATTATAATTATTTTTCATTATCTCACCTAACCTAAAATATTTCAGATTTTTTTTACTTTAGTTGCTTTTATAACAGTGAATAAAAATGTTAAAGAACTATAGTACTTATTATTGACATCTTGTTTTTTGCTGCCAGTTGCCAATGAAATTTAAGCCTAATTTTTTTTTTATACTTATGGTACAAGTACACTAAATTTTTGTTTTACTTTAGCAATATACCTAAAAACGTAGAATAATAATACATACAAAGCCAACAATTTCCTGTAACAATTATTATTTAACTGGTCTTCTAACTATGACACAAGCCTTGAAATAATTCCATAATCTTCTTGATCTGAATACCTCAAGAGAAACTTTGAAGCTGAAAATGAAATAGACAATACTCTGTACTGAAAACAATGTAATATAATACATCATTTCAAAGATTAAAACTTTGCCTTTCTGTTGGTTATAAATATTGTTGTATAAAACGTCAGAGAGAACTATTGGCAATTTGTAAACAACAGGATGTGGCAAGTGGGCCTGATTTTTCTAGTTTGGGACTCCATAAACAAATAAGAATGAAGTCTATAACTTTGCCTTAGTAACATCTATATTATAATGACTAATTTACATTCAATTCTGTACTGCAGAGAGAGGTGGTAAATAAATTAGAGAGGAAGGAGGATCTAGAGAATGAATGTCACAATTCTTGTATTTAGGGAGATTGAGGATTTGTTCAAATATTTTTTTTTATAAAATTAAGAACTTAAGACTTACATAATATTAAAATTTGATTCATTAACTACATTTTGATGCCAATTTTATTCATATACATTGGTAGTAAAGTGATTTAATAAAATTTTGAATGTAACTCTGTAAAAGGTTGCAAAATTTGCATTTTAACCACAAAAAAATTAATTCAGAAAGTTCTAGATACAGAAAACAACAACTATTGAGTAAGAGTTAGATTAGAAACAGTTTTTAAATACATATGCTTCAATCAACTTTATGGCTGACATAAGCCTACACTGATCATAGTGTCATAATACAATCATCAAAATTCATGGAAATGAGTTAACATGAGTCTTTTTAGGCATATTAATCATAGATTTCTAGATAAATGGAAAAATAATTTCTCAAATGTTTTTGTCAGTTACAAGCATATTTTAAGCCCAAAACAATATCTATTTGAAATTTATTTCTTAATACTTTTCTTTATCTTTAACCATAATATAAACAAAAATAAATGCTTATAGCAATTTACTAGAAGTGTGCAATATACACAGAAACTCTCAAAGTATAATTTAAAAAAACAACAGACAAATTTATCACAATTGTGATTACAGAAAAAAAGTGTTTTATAACATTTGTCTAATTTTAGTAATTTATTTTGATTGGTACTTACTCCCTCAAATCAGCTACTAACTTTTGAGTGCCATTTTTAACATCAAAAATTTTCACTGACTGGTCAGAAGAACAAGTTGCCAACCTGGTACCATAGTAATCCATTTGAGCATCATGCTAAAGGAAAACAAAGTCAAAATTTTACCAAAGATATGAAACTTTCACCCCAGTTATTAACTTACATTTAACACACTTGTAATATAGGAGAATTTGGTAAAATAATGAATAAAAAACTTGGACATGCAAAATGAAGCTCCTCTAAGCAGAATCCAAAGTCATAAAAACTCAAGTTAGTAACTTATTATACATGGGTAGTACTGTGAGATGTTAAAAAGTGCCTTACTAGGCTTAGCTCAGTTGGTTTTATTATCTATCTATATATATATATATATATTTATTTATTTCTTAATGGTCAACTTCTCTCATAATTTGCAAAAAAAGAATTTAATCTACTAATGTGAAAAATAGCTATATAATGGGAAAAATCATAATATGATTTCCAACTATAAAAACATCCCAATGTCTAATTTGTACACAAAGTAAATTTTACACACACATTGACATAATCAATCCATTTCAAACCAAAGCACAAGAAACACATCCTATTATACAGATTATATGCAGGGAAATTTTTTATTTTAGTTTTCCAAATTCCCTGTATCAATATAGCATTGTGAAAGGGTTTGCTCATTATACAAATCTCACCCAAAGTGCATATGGCTTATAAACCTGTATCAAACTATGTTTGAAGAGAGGGGGCGGTACATTTAATCTGTCTATTAAGAACTGGTGAACCACATCTCTTGATTAATTTCTATAACTTTGTACATAAAATGGGTGTAGCCAGGAGAGGTGTATGCAACCAGCACTTGCATTGGAGTCCCAAAAACAAAAGGAGCCACAGACACAGAAATGCCTCTGAAATTTCCAAATCTGTCTTAACTAATACAAAGAGTTCATATTATCTATTTTGAAAGTTGATCTTCATGATAAAAAAAAATCAATTTTGTAAAAAGCTCTCACAGTACAGTAAACACTGGTCTCAAGTGTACATAATTTTGAATATACTTATATATAACATAACCTTATCAGTACTTTGACTCATTTTGTTTCTGTTTATTTCAGTACAACTATTAATTTTTTTCTATTTGAACCAGGGCTCCCACGTTTCCACTAGGTTATATGTGCATGACTATTATCCAATCCATAAATGATAAATGTAAAATAAAACAAAAAATTAACATGAAAATGGTTAACAGATGCACAAAAAACAACTTACAATCATGTCTTCATGAGATGTATCTACTGTTTGTTCCAGGGAAACCTAAAAAAAAATAACCATACACCACCTCAAGGTTATTAAAAAAACACTTGTAGTAAGGAAAATTAATATCAGAAAATGTATTCTGGTTTTGTTACCTAGTATTAAAAAAATCTTAAGTAAGATCTCAACTTAAGCCTCTCTTCATAAAGTTTTATTCAATGTTGAAATATTTTAATTTCATAATGCACACAGTACAAACTTAAATAACTAATTAGGTATGAAAATCTAATTATTAGTAATATTATGATATACAAAAAAATGTTTAATATTCAAAAAGTCCACCCTGTTACTTTTATTGCATGTTCTGAAATACAAGTAAATTTTCTCACCCACTTCTCCAATTTAAAAAAATTGCCTGATTTCATATAATTTTTATTAAATGATTAAGAAACACAAAAATGTTTTAATATTATTTAAAACAATCCACATCATATTTCAAAAGTGAAAACATTTTATCTTACACTGCCATCTATGCCATTGTTGATATTATTATAACTTGTAGTTTAACCCAAAACATTTCAAGTAAGTAAAAATACATTTTGTTAAAAGCACTATAGATTCCACTTTTTTGTTTGTTTGTTTAGGCATACTAATGGTAGATAATGTTTAACAGTTGTTGACATTTGCTTCCAACCATTTTCAGCAAAAGAATGTTATTTGTTTAAGGAAGGTTTTTCATGGACATATCGTCCTTGACATTTCAGTCTCCATATCAAATCTTTCTTCAGGTCTGTAGAGTTGTTTTCTCATTGTGATTTTTACACTGTACAGCGGAGTAAAGCCCTTTTAGAGTGCCTTGCTTTGCTTATTTTCTACAGTACTATGAAGCATAGTCCTGGTGGAGAGCTCCTGTAAAAACCAACAATAATAAAACATCTTTCCAGATCTGAAGAAGAACTCAACATGTTTCTAACCAAGATAACTATCATAGTGACATCAGTCCTTATCTGAGTAAGTTAACAGTCACCTAATGCAGGAGATTTGTGAATTCTAAAGTGTGATGAGAGGACCCTAAAAATAAAAAAAATCGTGGCAGTTATTTCAGTTTGTGGTCTCCCAGGGGAACAACCTGGAGCACTCAGAAACAGTCTATTCCTCTTCACCCTGCTCATGGTGGAAGTGAGGGCTGTGCAAGGAAAGGTACAGATCATGCGTGGTGTCTTCTCTAAAATGTTGACCAAATCTTTTAAAGCACAATAATCAAAGAAATCCTACACGACTTAAAAGTGCACTTGTTTGCTTGTACAAAATATTTTCATAAAGACAAATAATTAGATTTATGTAAGCATTATGTATTTTTTCATACAGATGTGTATACTGCTTGTATTACCAAGTCCACAACATGTGCTATGGCATTATTTATAATTTTCTATCAACTGTTCAATCCATCTGCTTACACTATATGGTACAAACCATGATCAACAAGTATCTTCATTTGCATCACAGTTGTGTCCTTTTTTTTTACTTGGGAAAAAATTATACTCCCCACTTGATTTCAACTGCTTTTTTCATCTTTGACTACGATAAAGAAGAGCTAGCATTCTGCTATGGAAGTAGGCCCAAAAAGGAATTGCTATCAACTGATGTTACTTTGAAAGTAAATTTATTCATTCATAAGTTACCAAGTTTGTCTTATATACTGTTTCATCTTAGTTGTAATGTAACAACAGGACATCGTATCATCGGTGCCACAAGGTACCCATTCTATTTAATCCAAATTCAGTGTATTAGGTGTCAGTAGGGAGGTGAAAGGTAAATTGAATACACGTGAAAAATAATAATAAGCAATTTGTATAAGTCCACTACTTTATATTAAATGGACCAACTCATCTCATTTGTGTGTGTTATGTATATAATATATATATATATGTATGTATACGTGTGTAAGTGAATGTGTATATATATATATATGTGTGTGTGTGTGTGTGTGTGCACAACTACATTTTTAGAGCATAACCTTATAATTCCATTTCAAATAACTATTAGCATTATTAGCACAATTTGGCTACATTGCCAGAAAGAAAAAAAATTGTACTATAAGAATTTTAGGGCAAGAGTACTGTAATATCCAAAATCCTCATGAACTTCTAATTTAAACAAATACCTTGTACACTGAACCTGGCTCAAATAAACTGTGTAATGAGGGCACTAAAGACAGTGTTTTATTGCTGCAGTACTAACTTGGGTGAAAATTATATGTCTGTTATTCTTAGCTGGCTCCATAAAAATATTAATGAAAACTTTGTAACATAAGAGTGAATACAGTTACCTTTTTCTTAAAGTAACAGTAATTTCTTTTAGGGTCAATCTTCGTAGTTTAATGCTAGTCCTTCTTCAATGTTTAATACAGCATTTTTATTAAACATGTTTTACAACACAAGTTAACATGAAAAGTGTGTGGAAATTATATGCAATCCTTAACCTGATTGAGGTTACAACTGTCACAACATGCAAAAATTAAGGCACTTTTGAAATATGCACCTTTTATACATCAACCACACACTGCACCATTTTAAATCAATACCTGGCACCATGCCATAACTGTTAATGAAGATATTAAACTTTTATTAAATATGCACATTGCATATTCTTACATTATATACATATTCTTAATATTACTAGGTGAGCCATAGCCTAATGAATTCCCCAATAAAGGAAAATGACACAATAAACCTTTAATCACGATTAAGCTTTATGAGTTTATCTGGTGTTTACTATGGTTGACTTTATTTTGTCCATTTGATCTCAAATATTCCAATAAAAAGTCGTATGAAATACAGTATAAATCTAAATTAGTACCTAAGTAATACTAAGATCTTTATTGGGATGCTCGTTCCCGAAGCATTCTAATCACAAAAAGTAATGTAGAAACCGCATAAGATCATTAATGATTAAACTTTAAAGATGTGATATGCAAAACTTCTAACACCGAAATTACAAGTAAAAATAGCACAATAAAATTCACTAATGTACTAAAAACAAGATAGTGTAAAACTCAAAGCCATCATGGCATCTATGATCTAGCGATCTACCACTTTTTACCAACACTCTTACTTAAACTTAACTACCAGTAACAACTAACATATTGTATCGATATTCAACTTCTAAATTTAATGCTAAGCCTAAATTAGTCGCAGTATCCTCTGCTGCTTGCGAATTAAAAATACCAGCAAGTTTATTATTACGGTTCCCTGTTTCAAGAACTTTAATATTCTTACCATAATTATTTAGTTTCGTTTCAAAACAAGTGCTCAATTTATAATACCAAAGCCACACCGGTCTCTTAAAACAGCAATAATATTATCACACCACTTTACTCAATCGTCAACAGATTAAAAAAAAAAAGTTTAGGAGTGTTGGCAGTAGCAAAACGTATTACGTCTTAGCAATGTAGAATATATAATTTTTCGTCCGCTTTTTTTTTTTAATAAAATACACCAGTCTTTTACTACTACTACAGGTATAACCAAGACTATTATTATGTATAAATATATATATATATATAACATAAATATATATAAACTATGAGGTACACAGTTTATTTTCCTAGTAAAAAAACTATAAAATCTTTGGGCTTGATAGATGAATTTGCCTCAACAAGGGCTATCAAAAATTACATCGTGATTACAACCACAGATGCTTGTAATTAAAGGAATAATAGTGACTGATGATGACGTGCCGAAGAGTAGCAAAGTTCCAGTCATGGTCAGCAGGGTTTGAAGCTATTTGTTGAAGGTCTATTGCAACCTGATCTGAAAACACCCAACGACGGGTGAAGAGAAGAAGAGAGCTTTGCTAACGAACTCGTCAGTTACACCACAAGAAGTATTGTCATTAACTATAGGATTTCTGCTGATGATGTGGCCAGTCATAACTCGGTCAACATTTGTCCGATGTGGAATTTGTAAGTTGTAATTGTCATGTCTTATCGCATCCTGAATTTGTATAAGTTCCACCAAATTCGGATAAATCACGAATTGTTTACGTCCGATCCTTGCCACTGAGGCGCTTCTGGTTGAATGAAATATCCTGTTTTAATTAACGAAGTAAATGATCCTGTTTTAATTAATGAAGCAAACGTAGAAATAAAAACTTAAATGATTATTAGAATGCATTAGATTGTCAGTTGGATGCCTTCGTTATTAACAATGCTTTCAATCTTAGTCACAATACTATAAACTTAGGACTTAAGTAAGATAAAATAATCTATAGGTGTGTGAAGCAATGAATTAAAACATTGCTCAAAATTCTTTTGAACACCATAGACTACAATATTTAATAAAATTAAGTGTAAAAAATAGAGTGAATCATTACACCAGCTTTTTAAAAATTGCGTATTGAAGTTATGTAATGCAACGTATTTAACATTTCCGATTTTCTGAACTAAACAAAGAGATTAACTTTATATTTTTAGATTCTTGAATATTATTACCAAGTACTTCAGCGTACTTATTTCAAATTCCCTATAACTGTTGTCGCTATAGAAAGCTCAACTTTAACACTAGTTCAATGGTATCTGCATTTCAATATCAAACATTGGAAAATGCTTCCAGATATACGATTCATAAATATCTAATAATGATATAAAACAATATGATGCATCCAATAAATAGCTGACCGTCCATTAATGACGTCCACAGTTAAGGAAGAATGATCGGTGACCAAGCGTCTGTTTGATAAGTTTGTTTGTTTTTTGTTTTGTTTTGTATGTTAGTTATATTTGGTTTTTACCATCGTTTCTTATATAAAAAATAATAATAATAGAAATTTGAAAAAAGCTTTCTTGAACTAAGCATTTTAGCTTATAGCAATAGGAAACAAGTACTGAAAACACAAAATAATTTATCACTTTTCCATAAATTCGTTTTAGTTTGTTTTTGAAGCAATGATCTATTTGTGTTGTACCCCCACAGGGATAGATCCCAGTATTTTTACCACTGATCCATAAGGAGGATTTGTTGCTGTTTGTTGTTAAGCATAAAGCTACACAATGGACTATCTGTGCTGTGCTTACCACGGGTATCGAAACCCGATTGTCAATGTTATGATCCTTCAGACTTTCCGCTGAGCTACTGGGGCGCCATAAGGAGAAATCTCCACAAAAAGTGAGACGATTATTCGGGAAGTAAGAGTGTTGTGACAAGAACGGTGAGAAAGGGTGTGTGTGTGTTTGAAAAAAATTGGTTAAAAAGTGTGAAATTAGCCCTATTAATTATTAAACTGTAACACCGAACACATTCAGCAACATGTTTTGAAGCACTTAAAATTCACACAGATAGTCCAATGTGTTGCTTTGTGCTTAACTTCAAACAAACCATCCTCTGTTAATGAATGTCTAATGAGGGTCCAGCTCTTGAAAGTTCTCAGATTGTTTCTAAAGTGCAAATGCAATAATACGTGGTCAGTCTTGGATTTTACTGCAACTTCACAGCACATATAATATTCTTGGATAACTCTCCGTCCTTTCTCTCCACACTTGACTTCCTTGAGCACACTAATCCTAATTATATTTATTCGTTTCGTTGTTATAAAAGCCCCCCAGTAGCACAGTCGTATGTCTGTGGACTTCTACCACTAAAAACCTGGTTTTGATACCCGTGGTGGACTGAGCACAAATAGCCCTTTGTTTAGCTTTGTGCTTAATAACAAATAACATTTATTGCAAAATTTCGCATAAATCTACACAAGGCCGACAGGACGGTCGTCTCTTATTATGGGCTGGCAGGCAGCTAGACAATAAAGCCACCGCCAACAGCGGAGCACATTTTTGCGGCAGTGGATGGAGAACCACTGACTCTTGTTACTTATCACTCGATAATAGCCGATGACTAAATATTTTTAAGCTATCTTGTAAATAAAGCGGGGCGTGTTTAATCAACTTTTAACAAAGCTGAGCAAAATTTCTCATTTGTTTTTATTTTATACGCTAAAATATATAAATAAAGCTTTTTTGAAATCAGAAATTGTCAAACTAATATTTTCTAATCTCTTAAGTAAAGAGAGTTTCCATTATCGACACCAGAAAAAAATCTTACAATAATGTAGAACTAAAACTTTAATCGTTCTAAAAGTAATTCATTATTTTCTTAAATAAAAAACAAATTATTTGAGATATATCAATGTTAAAGTAAGTAATAGCTGCTAAAAAAGTAACATAGTACTCGTTGTATTGTGCTCCGTGAACATCAGTAGTTATTCCGGTTGTGAATATCTATTTTTTTTCTATTTTATTCCCACGTCTCTTAAGTATTATCTGCTTAGACTGTAAATTATGTTAGTTACGAATACATAATTCCTGTTTTACTTGATGATACAACGTAATTCTACTTTACATGTAAAAATGTGATTTTATTTTACAATAACTTATTTTTCGCTCTCAACAGATGGCGCTAAGTTAGATTCCAATAAGGTAAAAAAATCAATCGATGTAATATTAAAATGTACTTTCTGAAACTCTCGAAGAGAACCTTTTACTAACCAGTGTATATAATAGCTCATAAGATAAATGATGGAGTGGGGAATTCTGCCGAGTTTTTCTTCCTATTTTTCACTTCTTGATTCTGTATGTCTGGTAACATTTCATTTTGTTACAGGTTGAAGAACTATGATAAATTAAAATTCGATGACGAGGAACCCACTTT